AATTCTCCCAATCAATAGTGTGAGAGGTATCTTCAACATGTTTTTGTAGAGCAGACTTCACATCTTTAATGTCTGAATAATTATCAATCTCTTTGAGAATCTTTCAATCAGAGGCATTCATTAGTTTAACCTGTTCCGTTATTTTCTGAGTAGCTTTTGTTTTAGCTACTCAAGCTGTTTTCACTGATTGTGCTGCTGTGGTCACAGAGGATGGATTCACATTAGATAATAACTGAGATGATTGAGAACTATAGGTATCTTTGGTTAATCCATGTTCATACAGTCGTCTACATGCTTGTCGTTTAGTTTTACCCATATACGGTGAACTACAGTCTTTACATTTAACGTTATAAATGACATCAGACTTCAAGTAATTTGGTATTTTATCCTTAAAATCAAAGAAATTTTGAACTGATATTGGAGGCATTTCAATAATTGTTAATTGTGAATCTGGTCGAACTTCAGTTGTAAACTTTCGTAAGTCATTTTTAAACATTCTTGTACTATTCTCAACAAAAGGCACTTCAATAAACAATCTTTTCTTTTTCTTATCAGTATCCGTATCAACACACGTATCAGATTTGCTATACCATTTACTAATTTTTATCCTAATGAGCCTTTCAATAAAAGAACTAGGGTAACCATTACTTTTAGCTATTTTGCGAATAATATTCAATTTCTTATGTAATAGTGAATAAGTTGAACAAATATTAATGGCTGTATGAATTATACCATTGATGTCTGAGCATTTATAGGACATGGGGACATATGGGTCCCATTTCATGATTAGACCTGTAAATGTGTTTTTTCTGAAGATAGTTGTATCATATGTGGAATCAGTTCTGATGATACTAACATCAAGAAACGGTAATGTATTGCTCTCTTCAATCTCAAACATAAACTCAATACTGGGATGAAAGCTATTCAACAATACTAATATATTATCTATAGAGGCTTCTTGCTTAATCAATGTAAAACAATCATCGACATACCGTCGGCGGAATCGGACTCCGTTATTATATAACCGATCATGTAATGACTCTTCTAAATGGGTCATGAAGATATACGCAATAATTCCGGTTAAAGGTCCTCCAATATATAATAACGGTTATGATAAGGTTATATAATAACGGAGTCTGTTTTGGCGACGGTATGTCGATGATACTTTTACATTGATTAAATAAGAAGCCTCTTGTATTGTATTTTCAATATCTTCAAAACATCGTCATCGACAAATTCATAAACAAAATGATAAACTTTTTCGTTGGAATACAACAGAACATCATTTAGCAGAGTAGAAAAGTCATAATAACTCGACATGATCATTTAAACTTTTATGTTTATTGAGTGAATGAAAAAAAAATACAGATTTTGTATTTTCAAAAAATTAAAAACATCCATTATAAATTTCTGCATTGAATTGATCTTGTACATTCATCTGTAAACTATTTTCATTTTTGGGTTTTATTACTATTATCCATTTTTCAATTGATCTTAAATATCTTACATAAATTTTTTGTTTTGTTTGAAAAAAAATTCCCTGTATCGTACGTGTTGAATCTTTTTTAAATATATCTTCTGCCATTAATTTTTCATTATCTACGTTATCACCATCGATAATTGTAAAACAATCAGTATCAATATTCAGTCGAACATAAAATATAGCATCTTTTTGAGGAGAATATATAAGATAAATTAATAAGATAAGATTAATTAGAAACTAATGAATGCCTCTGATTGAAAGATTCTCAAAGAGATTGATAATTATTCAGACATTAAAGATGTGAAGTCTGCTCTACAAAAACATGTTGAAGATACCTCTCACACTATTGATTGGGAGAATT